TGTTCCCTTTTCACTAATCAGGCAAGGAGGTTTTTTTATTAAAATCTTGTATCACTTTCTTTGCGTTTGTCAGCCGTTCGTTTTTCTTTTTTTGTGCTAATTATGTGTTAATATCTCTACCATTTTTTAGAAGATGGCCGGGACGCTTTGAATTAGTAGATATAATTACGCATAAGCTGAAACTGAAATCTTGAACAAAGCTATTAATGACTCAACAAAAACGAAAATGAATTTATATCAAACAGCTGGCGTAAATGTACATTTATGGTGTCTGTGAATTTATAATCTCATTAATTCATTGTTGCATCTTACAGAACAAAAAGGAATAAAGTTGGAGCAGCTGGGGAGAAGAGTACACCGAAAGGAGCTCTACAACTGGAACATGATTTGGCGGAACTAGAGAGCCGGTGAGCTTTTGTATCTGCTACTAACTTGTCATGACTAGTTTTACTTGCGCCTTAATAAGCTTAAGATTAGTTCGACTTGTTAGCCAAACGTGGCTATTCCTAATGATGTTTTAAAAAGATGCGAATATCCATTCTCATTTATTACCGCAGCTTTCGACGTTTTAATTCATGAATTTGCTAATCAGTGCTTCTTTGCTAATAGTTCGCTCTTTGCTTCCCTTGTTTTTATTAAGTATTGAGTCTAAGTGTCACCTTCGCAAAAACGAAAGTCTATTAAGGATCACCAATGAAGTCATGAAATCAATGGAACATGGGTCTCCCCGCCGATCATCTCGTTCTCGTAATCGCGGTTAGTTTGGCTTTGCTTGGAATGAGACCTATTTGTGTAACCATGTTCAGGATTATATATAAAATCTCTCTCTTTTTCAAAATTCAGGTGCGGTTGTTGACGTTTGAATTGAATATATAAATAAACTATAGATTTATTAATGTCGAGCAACTTTCGAATTTAAGATCCAACACGCGCATCTCCTGCCCGATTATCGCCTATTGAGGTGAAAGTGGAGGAATCACAAGCGGTAAGCAATTTTGTGTTTTCTTTTTATTTCTTTTTCCTCTTAATTTTTGGGTTTCTGGACGTTCTCGCTTTTCATTTATATAACTAAGTCTTAACTATATTTCTCGAGATTATTTCTGATTGCTTTCTTTTCCTTTTATAAAGATTTTGATAGTGTTTCTTTTCCTGATTGATTTTCCGAAAGTGACAGCCGCTTTTGTAGCTGTCTGTTGCTTTTAATTAATTTTTATTCTTCGATTTCACGGAAACATCTTGGTGGCCAAATGTCTACTGTTTAGCATTCTGTATTCAATAGAATTGACTAAGAAAAAAGCCTAATACATGCACAATTTAGCCAGCAGTTCCTGCCGGCACGTCACAGTCCCTTTTATCGGTGAATACAACTGAATCAAATGTTGAGAAAGCGGCGAAACAGGTTAAAAAACAAAACCAATTTCATATTGGTCTTTCATTTGTATCTTATCATTCCTAGGAAGCACAGGTCATGATGAGGATAGCGGAGCTGCGACGAGCAGGGTTATGGACAGCTAGTCGGCTGCCGTTATGTGTTGAGCCACCTAGAAACAAAACACATTGGGATTACGTTTTAGAGGAGGTGAAATGGATGGCCACAGATTTTCGGATGGAGCGACATTTCAAGAGGAATATTGCGAGAAAAGTTAGTGTTTGTCTCCTGAGACGATACGGAATCGTTGGTTATTAACTTTTAGATTGCGGCTGCTATTCAAAAACAACGGAGAGATGATGAAACTGACCAAGAAAAGGCACATGCGCGCCTGATTAGGGTAAGACATCTAATAATTGGGTTTTTTTTTTCTTATCTGTTCTTCATGATTCGGCTTTTGAATTTTCGTTTATCAAAATCTTTCTAAGGATGGAAAAAGAATTTGTGCCTCGATAGCAAAAATGGTTCGTGATTTCTGGCAAAATGTGGATAAAGTCGTGGAACACCGAGCCCAGGTTTGCATAGGATTTTTTTCACAATATATCTAAATTTTGGTTCAAATAGTTCTAAACTATATTTGGATATTTCCTCCTTGAAACTTTTTATTGTGTTTCACGCATAGTCATTGATTACTTATCTGTAGGAAATCCTGGAATCAAAGAAACGGAAAGCATTGGATGCTCACATGGCTTTCATTGTCGGAGAAGCGGATAAGCTTAGTTCTATGGTGCAGGAGGGCCTCACGCAAGATCGAGGCTCAAAAACACCGTCAATGGCCTCGCGTGACGACCGGAATGGTGAGTTAATAACCAAGCGTAGTTTTACTAATTGTAAGATCTATTCTCTTTTTGTCCAGACGATGATGCTGATTTTTGTGCAAGCGAATCAGAATCGGATGATGAGGTTACTATAGAACGCGAAGAGGCTAC